AAGGGAAACGGTTGTGAAACAATTACCGTATTTTTCGCTCCATTGGACGCACCCGACCATAGGGCGCATCTAGTTTTTAGAGGAGGAAAACAAGGAAAAAATATTCTGAATCAAATGTTGTATAAACTACTGTATTTAATAAACAACTGGTATATCAGAATCACATTACAGCCATGTAAAGTGAACAGCAGTCAACAATGGCATTAAGAACCATCATCACTGTCATTAACAAATGAAGAGAGACTTTAAGGTTTGAGTACTCTTCTAGTCTGTGAACCCCAAGAACTCATCACTGCTAAAGTCAGAATTTATGAAGCTCAGTTGCTCACAGTCAGAGACATCACTTTCTTCGCTATCTTCATGTAAAATACCATCTTCGTATCCATCCAAAGCATTGCTAATGCCACATTTTTTCCTCTCAATCCTCTTCCTCCCCTCTCTCAGCGAACAGCCTGCCAGCTGCTCGCAAACATTCCCTTTACTTGAATTACAGTCAAGAAACAGCCAAGCAGAGCTTCTCAGTAGCAGGCTTGGGAGGCTTTCCTTTTCCCCACATTTTTCTCCCCCCCCCCCAGCAGAACAGCCCCCTTTTCCAGCCTCCTCCTCTCCATCCCTTTCACCCAAACTCCTCAGGTGACGTCTACAATTTCTCCCCTTCACTGCTCCCTCTCCTTTGCCCTCTACCATGACTCTCCACTCACGGCAACCTATGGTACCTCATCTCCCTTCACCCAGCTTCTTGGTCCCCCTCCTCTCCGTCCTCTTCCTCCCCTCTCTCAGTGAACAGCCTGCCCGCTGCTCCAAACCTTGAGGGGAAGGGCAGGCTGCTGGCAGAGCAGCACCCCCCACCCCCATTCAGCAGCCCTGGAGCGTGGGGCATGGGCGCACAGCCTGCCCACTGCTCCAAACCTTGAGGGGAAGGGCAGGCTGCTGGCAGAGCAGCACCCCCCACCCCCATTCAGCAGCCCTGGAGCGTGGGCATGGGCGCACAGCCTGCCCGCTGCTCCAAACCTTGAGGGGAAGGGCAGGCTGCTGGCAGAGCAGCACCCCCCACCCCCATTCAGCAGCCCTGGAGCGTGGGCATGGGCGCACAGCCTGCCCGCTGCTCCAAACCTTGAGGGGAAGGGCAGGCTGCTGGCAGAGCAGCACCCCCCACCCCCATTCAGCAGCCCTGGAGCGTGGGGCATGGGCGCACAGCCTGCCCACTGCTCCAAACCTTGAGGGGAAGGGCAGGCTGCTGGCAGAGCAGCACCCCCCACCCCCATTCAGCAGCCCTGGAGTGTGGGGCATGGGCGCACAGCCTGCCCACTGCTCCAAACCTTGAGGGGAAGGGCAGGCTGCTGGCAGAGCAGCACCCCCCACCCCCATTCAGCAGCCCTGGAGCGTGGGGCATGGGCGCACAGCCTGCCCGCTGCTCCAAACCTTGAGGGGAAGGGCAGGCTGCTGGCAGAGCAGCACCCCCCACCCCCATTCAGCAGCCCAGGAGTGTGGGGCATAGGCGCACAGCCTGCCCACTGCTCCAAACCTAGATGGGAAAGGCAGGCTGCTGGCACAGCAGCACCCCCCCACCCCCATTCAGCAGCCCAGGAGTGTGGGGCATAGGCGCATAGCCTGCCCACTGCTCCAAACCTTGAGGGGAAAGGCAGGCTGCTGGCACAGCAGCACCCCCCACCCCCATTCAGCAGCCCGGGAGTGTGGGGCATAGGCGCATAGCCTTCCCGTTGCTCCAAAGCTGCAGAGGGAAGCCGAGGCTGCCGGCAGACGAGCGAGGCTCTCCCCTCCGCCCCCATTCAGCAGCCCAGAAGCGCGGGGGATGGGCGCACAGCCCTCCCGTTCCTCCAAAGCTTCCCGGGGCTGCAGGGGGAAGCCGAGGCTGCCGGCAGGGGAGCGCGGCTCTCTCCCCCCGCCCCCATTCAGCAGCCCAGGAGTGCGGGGCAGGGGCGCACAGCCCTCCCGTTCCTCCAAAGCTTCCCGGGGCTGCAGAGGGAAGCCGAGGCTGCTGGCAGGGGAGCGCGGCTCTCCCGCCCCCCCCCCGCCCCCATTCAGCAGCCCAGGAGTGCGGGGCAGGGGCGCACAGCCCTCCCGTTCCTCCAAAGCTTCCCGGGGCTGCAGGGGGAAGCCGAGGCTGCCGACAGGGGAGCGCGGCTCTCCCGCCCCCCCCCGCCCCCATTCAGCAGCCCAGGAGTGCGGGGCAGGGGCGCACAGCCCTCCCGTTCCTCCAAAGCTTCCCGGGGCTGCAGGGGGAAGCCGAAGCTGCCGGCAGGGGAGCGCGGCTCCACCACCACTACCAAAGACCAGTCCAAGAGTGTGCCGCACTCCGACAATTTGGCCCCAGGGACCACACATTCGCTCCATAGGACGCACAGACATTTCCCCTTACTTTTTAAGAGTAAAAAAGTGCGTCCAATGGTGCGAAAAATACGGTACATGCAGCACACAAGGGACTTCAGTGCAGAGGTTATTACTCAAAAGTTTTAATTGGAAGTTCAGCCAAAATCTTCCCAAAGCTCTTTTACAATTATGTACATTACCATTAACCTCTCTGCAGGACTTGTCGATTTCTTGACTTTATTTAGCTGTATTCATACGAGATGAATTTAATGTATGCAGTAAAATTTCACTTAAATAGATCTGCTTAGGCAATTGAAAGTTCTGCATCCTCAAGTTCAATAAAAAGTGCCTTTCAGTGTAACCTCTCTAGCAGAAAATGAAATGTAATGCATCTTGGTTAGATAGCCGTCTAGACATTGTGTTTTAAAACTCTAACTGCACAGGACTGGTAAATGCTGTGAAGCAGAACCTTTCAGTTTGGGGTGAGTTTGAGGTTTGCCATGAGAGAAGTCTAAATATGATGAGGAGAAAGGAGAGCATTGTATTAGGTTAAGTGGTAGGATTTGAATTTTGGGTGCCTTTGCCCTGGAACCTGCAGACCTCAAAATATCCTGCCCTAATAGTCCAAAAGAATATTCAAGAAATAATATGATGGCTTTTGACGTTCAACAGACTGGTTCCCCAGCCTTCCAGTGGACTAACATATTCTAGAGCAGCTTACTTTAATTGCCAGCATGAATTGATTGATTTTTATTTTATTTAGCAAAATTAATTGTATACTGCTTGATCGTTTTATTTTTGTAAACCACTTAGCAGTTCTACTGGCAAACATCAAAACTGTCAAGAAAATACAAAGTTAAATCAGGTACTTTAAAAAATTCAAAATGGAAATAAAATAAGCGGTTAAGCAATAAAAATAGATTAAAACACATGTCAGTTCTACATATTCTGGATAGGCTTGTCTGAAGAGAAATGTTTTTAGCCGGTACTGAGAAGAGTAAAGTGAAGCCTCCTGCCTGATGTAAATAGGCAGGGAGTTTCAAAGTGCAGGTGCTGCTAAACCTAAAGACTGATTTCTTACAAGTGCAGAATGAATGTTTTGTGATGTTAGTCCTGCAGATCAAAGTGGTCAGGTAGATATATAGGGTAAGTCGATCGCTCAGGTAAACTCGTCCCAAGCTATTATATATGCTAATAGTAACACCTTGAAACTTGCCTGGTAACAAACAGAGAAGCAGTGCAGATCTCTGAGCAAGGGTATTATATGTTGACAATGTCTCTCTTCTGCCAGCAACTTTACTGCATCATTCAGCACTAACTGCATTTTCCAGTTCAAGCTCAAGGGAAGACCCACATTGAGTGCATTGCAGTAATCCAGTTTTGAAGTTACTAATGCTTGAACTGGGACGCAGGTGGCACTGTGGGTTAAACCACAGAGCCTAGGACTTGCCGATCAGAAGGTCGGCAGTTCAAATCCCCGCGACAGGGTGAGCTCCCATTGCTTGGTCCCTGCTCCTGCCAACCTAGCAGTTCAAAAGCACATCAAAGTGCAAGTAGATAAATAGGTATCGCTCCGGCGGGAAGGTAAACGGCGTTTCCGTGTGCTGCTCTCATTTGCCAGAAGTGGCTTAGTCATGCTGGCCACATGACCCGGAAGCTGTACGCCGGCTCCCTCGGCCAATAAAGCGAGATGAGCGCTGCAACCCCAGAGTCAGTCACGACTGGACCTAATGGTCATGGGCCCCTTTACCTTTACCTTAATGCTTGAACTACTATGGAAAAGTTCTCCCTGGCTGTAGGTGTTGTACAGGCTGCAGTTGGTAAAGGGCACTTCTAGCCACTTAAGTTGCCTGGGCCTCCAGTAACAAAGATAGATCCAGACTGCAAACCTGTTGCTTCAGAGGGAGTGCAACCTGTCCAGAGCTGATCAGTTTCTCAGACACGAGAACCACTTACCTACACAGTCTCTTTGATCTCAAAACTGTTTGCTACTTTGATCTTAAAATGACTTAAGAGAACATATCTATGAAATAAAAGAAAATGCTTCAGATGTAATAACTGAGTAACTGAGTTCACTGTGGAAGAACCTCCAGCTGGAAGGCTATTGGCTTAACTGAAACTTTTGCCATTGCCTCCTCTGCTCCCAGAACCAATTCCATTCACATCTGTTCTGTCTCACTGAAGCAGCAGGAGAGGCAAGACGGTATACGTAATGCCATCCATTGAACTGACTGGGACCAGCTGCCATTTGGCTCCTTCTCTCCCAGAACTGTTTTGTTCACTGATTCTGACATCCTTGTCTATGGCACAGTGGGTCAGTGTGGCTAGCTGCTAGCCACAATGTTGGCAGATACAGGCCACACAGAGATGGCTGTGGGCAGGATTGCAAGGGGTTGGTCTAGATGACCCTTGGGGTCTCCTTCAGCTCTACAATAAAATAGCTGATTACTAAATTTGCTTATTTTCATCCCCATCTCTTTTTGTACTTGTATTGTAAGCGACTATTATCATTGTGTGTTATCATGGCTAGTTGGACAGAAAGCTGCTATTTATAAATATAGTTCATATTTATAGTTCATAAATATATTTATATTATATTTATAGTTCGTAAATATAAATAATTGGTTACTCTAAGTCTGATAGCTCTTTATTTTCTCCTTAACTTGCAGTGGGACGCTGGCATTGCCCATGTCCAGAAAGCAGCATGCAAGAAGAATAAGTTGTTAACTGGGAAACAAGGCACTCAGCTCTGATTAGATACATATAAAGATGGTTTAATTTTGCAATATGTTCCAAGAAGAGTGATAAGAAGAAAAAAAGAAGGTAAGGTCAATGTGATGTAGATCTTGTATGTGTCCAAGTATGGAATTGGCATTTCAAATGTACTTGATACGGTAAACTACAAGTGCACAGTAAAAATCATCCCCTCTCAGACATCAAGCTAGAGAGAGGTTAAAACTACCTGTTTTGTCAGTAGGTGGCTGAGGAACTCTGAGAACCTTGGCTGCCCACTGCCAAAGCAAGCTCCATTCTTTTGTTCTGTCTTCAGGTGGGAAGGGTGGGCTGGCTTTTGAAAATGAGCAGCTGAGGTATTTGGAGTAAGTGGGCAGGTCAGTACTGTAGAAGCCGCTTCTGCCTTGCTACAGCTGTAAGCTAGAGAGGGAAAGGGATTGCCCCTGGTCATCTGTGAAGATGCTTTGTGAGGTTGGGGACTAAAGCTGCAATCCTTAAAAGTTCTTACTTTGCACTAAGCACTACTGAATGCAGGGATTTACTTCTGAGTAAATTCATAAGAAGGTGGTAAAGGGGAGTAGGTGAGGAATGTTTAACTGTGTTTCTGGTGCATTTTTTTTTAATACTTATTTTGGTTTTCTATACACTACAATATTTTAAAATGTGAGCCATCTTATAAATCTTTATAATAAATAAATGTTTCTGGCAATTTCATGTTTTTGTTTGCTTAGAGGGGCCAGCCTAAACTTGTTGAACTCTGTTCCCTTGCTAAACAAATGCTTTTGTACTGTTAATGGGTATTATGAGGCTCTCAATGCATGCTGTCACTTTTTAATTGTGGAATTACTCAGGTGTACCAAGTTCTCCTTTTTCTACTTGGTTTCCCAACCTGCTGGGACACCCAAGTAAGTGGATATAGGATTGCAGCCTTGGTCTATTTGAGGTCTTTAAGCAGAGGCTTGACAACCATATGTCAGGAGTGCTCTGATGGTGTTTCCTGCTTGGCAGGGGGTTGGACTCGATGGCCCTTGTGGTCTCTTCCAACTTTATGATTCTATGATTCTATGATTTATTTGATGCACAAACCTTCACACAAAATCTCACCTTGAAATTTGTAAAATCCGGAATACATAAGCCAGAATTTTTCAACCTTTTTGAGTCCACGGTTCCCTTGACCAACTGCATTCTTTCTGTGGTACCCCTGTGGGGCTCAGAATCCCAGTTATGTCACCCCTTGCCTGCAGAGCTGGCAGCCTCTCACCCTTTTCCAAACACCCTCCCTTGTGGAGTGTTCCCTCAGCCTCCTCTCCTCTCTCCTTGGGAGTCTTCTGGGCAGCCGCTGCTGCCACCCTTAGTCTCTGAGCTGCCCCCCCCTTCCCCAAAGGGAGGTGCCTCCTCACACTGCCCCACGGGTCTGGGAAGAGGATGCCCCCAGCCTTAGTGGCTCAGTGGAGACTGGCCAAATGTGAACCTGAGACCTGCACCTTACCTTGGAAGCCAGCCCCAGAGGCACCGTTTGCTTGCGGAGGTTATAGCCAGGGCTGCTGCAACAAACAGTTGTGCAAGCCTTTGGGAGGCAGAGATGCAAGAGGGCATCGGAGGAGGGAGAGAAGGAAGGAAGGAAGGCCAGAGGCCAGTGTTGCCGTGGCACCCCTGACCATCATTCAAGGCACCCCAGAGTGCCATGGCACACTGGTTGAAAACCACTGACGTAAGCAGATAACCATGGTTTTCTATTCCTGAAGTCACATGTTCAGATATCCTAGATGGATCAAGCAACTGTAGATTGAATTTTGTTAAATAAATACAGTAGACTTGGGCTAAAATCTTTATTCAAATATCTTTCTGGCCTTGTGTTTGCGAAATGCAAACACATAATCAAGATTTGGGACCCAGATCGTGTGACTTAACTGTGTCCAATTTTTTGATGTGTGATATTGTGCTGTGCCATATGCAAAAAGTAGGGAGTCAAGACTGACCAAGGCCAAACACGTTTTTGTACAGATTGTGATGGATTCATCAATTCTTTGACAAAAAGCCATGACATTTGTTCACTTCACTGTCATCTCAGCAAAAATTGCAAGGAGAATGATTGACACTTCTTTTATTTATACACATATGCAGAATATACAATCTACTGAATGTAAGCAACATGCTGCAAATAAATAAAATCCCTATAGGAATAAAAAGTTGCAGTAATACAGATGCTATAAACTCCTTGGATGGGGAGTATGGGGATAAGGAGATCTGTGCTTATAGCACTGAAAATACATTAAAATGTGCACCAGGCAGGCCCATCTGGGGAAGGAATTCAAGTAAATAAAATGCAATAAGAAGAAGGTCATTTCTCTACTTGCCATTTACCTGAGATGGCAGGGTAACCAGAGAAGACTTTTGGTGCATGGGCAGATTGATGCAGAAGCATGTTTCTTCAAGTATTCAGGTCTCAACCTCTGTAGGGCTTTAAAGTTAAGCACCAGTGCAGTAAATTGGCTCTACAAACAGACCAGTAGCCAGTAGAGATCTTTAAGCACAGACAAGATATGATCCCAACAACGAGTCCTGGTTAGTACCAAAAACAGCTGCTAAGATACTAATGGCAGCTTCTGAGCAGAAAGCCCCTGAACAAGGTACTGTAGTAGTATAGCAAAGTTACTGTAGGTAGGCTGTATCTCTCCAGGAGGGGCTGCATCTGACATAGCTGGTGGAAGGTACTCTATACCATACTGGCCCTGCATTGATTAAGATGGATCTGTGGGCACCCCTATCCAGAACAGATGACACATAGGAACTACTACCACCATTTGCATATTCTCAGATTATTCATCATCATCCAGGGTCTCCCCCCCCCCCCCCCCGTGATCTCAAGTATAAATTTTAAACTTCATTGCCTAACTTCAATCAGAGGCGAGAGAGCTGAATGTTTCATGCAGATAATGAGGGACCAGATAGGACCCTATAGTGTAAATTCCTAGGGCTTAGCAGTAGTCACCCAGCACAATGTTCCAGAAGTTCCACAATGTTACTTAACTAAGCACTAGCAGTGGTGATCAGAGGCAAAGTAGTTATGGAGGACAGCTATCTTGGTGTTGAAACATTAATATGCAATTTTGTTTCACCCTTTCTCTAGTGATAAACTATCATATTTGCATCATGTCGTTTATATATATTAGGTTGCTCATTTACTTCATTCATGTGCAGGCAGCAGCTTGAACTCAGATCTTCCAGCCCATATTTTCTGCAGCACACTGATTGTCATTGCAGATTGATATTTTGTTTTGTCTGTATATGATGCTGTTCATGTACATTTTTGTAGCTTTTTTCAGTTGTTATAAACTGTTTAGGATAAAGTCCTGTGGTTAAGCAAAGTAGGCTAACAGTAGGTCCTGCCAAATTATGATACTTTTGTTGTTGTCTAGGATGGCCGGTTGCGGTGAGATCGATCACTCAATCAACATGCTTCCCACAAACAAGAAGACAAATGAATCATGTTCCGGTGCAGCACCATCTCTCATGGTCCCTGAATGTGCTATCTGTCTGCAAACATGTGTCCACCCTGTGAGTCTGCCTTGTAAACATGTCTTCTGTTATCTGTGTGTGAAAGGAGCTTCCTGGCTGGGAAAGAGATGTGCACTCTGTCGTCAGGAGATCCCGGAGGACTTTCTTGATAAGCCAACCTTACTGTCACCTGAGGAACTCAAAGCAGCCAGTAGAGGCAATGGGGATTATGCCTGGTACTATGAAGGCAGAAATGGATGGTGGCAGTATGATGAACGTACCAGTAGGGAGCTGGAAGATGCCTTTTCCAAAGGTAAAAAGAGCACTGAAATGTTAATTGCTGGGTTCTTGTATGTGGCAGATCTTGAGAACATGGTTCAGTATAGGCGAAATGAGCATGGACGTCGCAGGAAAATAAAACGGGACATAATAGATATTCCAAAGAAGGGAGTGGCTGGGCTTAGGTTGGACTGTGACTCTAATGCTATCAATCTAGCAAGAGAGAGCTCTGCTGATGGTGCAGACAGCACACCAGCTCTAGGAGCTGCTGCTGGGCAGCCTCTAGCAACTGCTTCTGTTAGACCCCTTCCTTCACTAGATGGTCAACCGACAAGCCCTGCAACGCCATCACCTGATGCAAGCACTCTAGAGAACTCTTTTGCCAACTTGCAAATAAATGGAGACAGTATGGTTGAAAGGAGCCATAGGGGTGAGGGAGAGGAAGACCATGAATCATCGTCTTCTGGTAGGGTGCCAGTTCTTGACACCTCCATTGAGGAAACAGAATCGGATGCTAGCAGCGATAGTGAGGATGTGTCTGCCCAACTTCAGTTGCCAGTATCCTCTGCTCAGCAGAGACATCTGAATGCAAGTCAGCCAGCCTTGGATAGACCAGTGGTGGGGAGTGGGGTGGGAAGCACCAGTGTAAGGTCTAGAAGGCCTGATGGACAGTGCACAGTAACTGAAGTTTAAATCTAGAGCCATGTTTTGAAAACTCAGTCTTGTATATGTACATTTTGTCTGTATTGGCATTGCATTCCAGCCTAGCAATGTATTCAAAGTGTTTCAGGGTGGGAGGAGGGGAAAGGGAAAACCAAGCCTGGTCCTTGAACTTGTAAGAAAATCTCTTAATATGTCTTGGCTGGAAGATTCAATGTTTGAAGAAAAACAAACAAATCCTGGGGTGTGTTAATGGTTTGACAGCTACTTAGCAATACCCAGTTTCGTAAATGTCTCACGTTTTATTTTGTAGTATATGCTCATCCCCAGTAAAACCCTGTCCCCCTTTTTGACCAGTGTATATTCACTGTACAACTTGGAAATGTCATCATTCTTCATTGCATTAAGTATCTTTACTATCTTCATGGATTGATGTATGGAAGGAAAACTAAAGCGAACTGGAAATGAACAAGAATTGGGGGTATGAACCAGATGCTTAATTTTAACATAAAGTAGGTGTGACTTCTAAAGTTCAGATGTTTTACTAAACAAAGAGCAATCATCTTCCTGAATGAAATGTAAAATAACTTCTGTTGCAGAGTTTTACTTGTAAACACTTCATGGTGTCTTCATTGGCTCTTCCGTCTAGTCCCTGTAGCTTGTTTGTTTTCTTGTTCCGTCTGGTTTTTGTTACAAAATTTATAATTTAATAAACTACATTTTATCAACCACCTGAGCTCTGTTTCCACATGGGTCTGCACCCATGTCATCTTGAAGTTAGTTATCAGAGGAGGAGTGGACACTGCCTTTGGTTAATTGTAGGACTTTGTGTGCTGAAAATCAACATGAAACACAATGTACTGAAGATTACACAGTGCTTGAAAAAGATGTCATAATATATGGCTCTATAAAAACCCATTCATTTCTCCTGCCTTGTCTAATCTGCCAGGATAGGGAATCTGCAGAAATTTGTAATGTAGTGAGATAGGCAGAAAGCCAAACCACAGCTTGCTATTTTGGTTAAGTACCATCTGTGAAAATACACCTCTCACAGACTTTCTGTACTATTGCTAACATTGGGCAAAGACATCCTTTTGTGTGGGGTGTGGATAGATTACTTGGTGAAAAAACCATCACATCCATAGCCCTGCAGTTGGGTGGGTGGTAGTCCAAAGCTGATTTGGTGTCAGGAGACAAAGGGAACATTGGGTCCTGTGGATTCACAGCTATTGTAGAACACTCCATTTTGCCCTACACTGTCACTAAGAACACCACTACTGGAATTTCCAGTGGGTGTCTTGGGAGGCCACTGGAAGTGTGGGTGTCTTGCCCATAGCCCATTTTGTTCATCAACAGAGCTATACCTCTACTAGCTCCTTACATAGCTTTTGGCTTTGACCCTCTAGCTTTGTAGCTCAAACAATATATGAAGGGGATATAGATGCGTGCAATTTAGAGCAAAAGAAAACGCAATGATCCTACCTTCCCTACATAATAAGACACCTGGCAATTAGAATAAGATGGCCTGCAAGTTATATGCAAAGGATAGGCACCTTGTAGTGAGAGCCCTTTTGCAGATACTGTTTTCTGCTATAAGACTGTCAAATGTTCAGAAAGCTACTTCTGTCAGTGCATTGGTTTCTGTGATTTTATGGATGGCTCCTTTGCAATTAACATATGCAATAGCTGACTATCAATAGTGTTCAGTACTGAAAATGGAAGACTAAGAACTGGAACTCCCCCAGTCTTTCATTCTAGGTTCAGTCTTTGCTTCAATTCTTAGTGGCCGCCCTGCACTACCTCTTTCACATTTAACATTAACCTGCATAGACATTGTAAAGTATCAACAAGTGCTATAACTAGCTATGTGAACTCAGTACCATTTATACATGAAGTAAATGACAAGCAGGCCTCCATAGTAAAGCCACAATCATGGCAGCATGAAGGAGATTCCTGACCTATCCATTAAATACAGCTGAATAACTACTGCACAAAATAGAAATATCTTTTTTTATATGCATATCTGTAAGTGCCAGGGTACTGTGTATCATTTGGTCGTTATTTATCACTCATTTCTGGTAATACTGTCTTCAACAAAAACACAAACCTAAGTTTGTGCTTCTGCACAAAGCTATTCTTTCCCTGGTCTGTTCTCAAGCTTAACATCCATGTGATCCCCATATCAGAAGCGGCAGCTAACTACTTGAGTTACACATAAATAGGGGCCTGGATATAGATGCTACCTTCATAAACATCACAGTACAAACCTCATTTTAATCAGCCTGTTTGCACATGGATCTTTTGCAGCTCTGAAAAAATACTCTTATCTCCATATGTACTAAAAACAAGAGATGATACTCTTCAATGTACAGTTCTCCATCCACAATAAAGCAATTTAAATAATTTATCCTAGTCCCATAATGTGAACTAGTTTAATAAAAGGCAGCTGATGTTTTAAGTCAGGAAAAGAGAGGGCTCCAAGGAAGAGTATACCTCACCAGGGCTTTTTTCCCAGCCGGAATTCAACGGAACTGAGTTCTGGCACCTCTCAGGTGGTTGCCATTGTGATTCTAAGAAGTGGGAAGTGTTTATGGTCAGTTCCGGCACCTCTTTTTCTAGAAAAATAGCACTGCCTCTAACATATTGCCAGTTTTTCAGCTATCAATATGTTTCACATAGCTGCGGGACATTGATATATACTGATATTGAACATGCTATGCTTTTGCACCCTGGCACCATGCCTTCATGTCAACAATGCTGCTGTATCAAGCAAAATGAAAGGACGGCTCTAATAACACTTTCATCAGGAATGATTCCATGAAATTAAGTGAATTCAGAGAGCCTAGCTGTAGTTATTTTGGATTCTCTGTGCAAGCCTCCAGCAGGGATTCACAATCCTTGGCTTGCCTTAATAACAAGCCAAAATTCATGCTTGTTATGACTCACCATGCTGAGAGATGAGCAGGGTCTTACTTCATATCACACCATTCTCCGAGCTAGGAGGTCAGTGGGCGTGGGGGGAAGTTTGCTGCTTTCCAAGAGTCTCCAAGGCTCAGTTGTTAGCTGTTGAGCACCTGCTTTTCTCAGGAGAAGCACATACATTCTTTCCCAGTATTGCACTCAATAGGTTAGAAATGTGCTCACCAGTGGTATGTCTGTCTATGAGCACTTCAGTTTTTCTTGATAAATTGAGTTATGAAAAAGCTGTGCTGCAGAAAGCTTGAGTCAAGAGGTTGCCATGTTTCACCCACCACTGCAAATGTCTTGCTGTAACAAACTTTCTGATTTGTCACAGCTTTGTATGCCGAGTGTATCACCAAAAAGAACAAAAAAACACACACAAATCTGCACTCCTCTTTGCTGGATCAACTGCTATCATTACTGGCTCTGATAAGGTCTATTCCCCACCCCGCCTCCCAGGTGACATAAAAAGAATAACAGTAGGGTCATCATTAGAAAGGAAGAACTACAAATAATAGTATTACAAACAGAAGTAATGACTTGTTGGACTCAAAGTTCTTGCAGTCCTAACACAAATACGAGGAAGTTTATACTATAGAAACTACAGCTTTAAATGCATCAATGATATTGTATACAAAACCAATTTACTGTTTCCACAAAGCAGCTAGATACTGGTTTTGGCACTTGGAATGCTATTGAAAGTTTTCAGATGCAAGTCATCTTGGAGATGCTTTCTTGTATAGGCTGAAAAAGGTAAGGTCAATTCAGTTAACCAGGAAATCCATCAAATATGCCTTTAATCCATATATGCCTAGACACCATCACTGATATTTGCAGATACAGCATAAGATTGTGTGAAAATCCCTTTTACATTTAACACTGTGTCTGCCAACTTTATCTACACAAAGACCTAAGATGAAGGTGAGATGTTCTTGCACTTAATACAAAATCTTATAGCACCTTCAAGAATAACAAATGCATAAGCTTTTGTAGATGAAATCCACTTAATCAGATACAATGTGGACTTGGGTTCATGAAAGCTTATGGCATAATAAATTTGTTGGTTGTTAAGGTGCCTCAAGATCCTTTGTTTTTGCTGCAACAAATGAACATAGTTTACCTTTCTGGTGTAAGTTTGAGATGGTTTAATAAGCTGAAGGCAGGAGCTTTGGGGCTGTGCATGTAGTGTATGAGCTCACTGAGTACCACCTAGATGAAGTTTGAGGAAAGCTATACTGTTACTTATTTTAGTTCTGACCTGGCCAATTCTCACTGTACATGTACACAGGGCTAAAGTTGCTTTTAGGTTAAACCTATTTTTGATCAAACTGTGTCAAACTTGGACAAGTTCAAGAGCTTTGAACTGGAGACATCAACAACAACAATCAAATCCATTTGAAAAGGATATCATCTTACATCCATCACAGGTCTTTGCAAGGATAAACTTGGCTAAAACGTTGCACTTGCCTTTCAAAATATTATGCCCGTACATAACATAATGCACATGAAAATAATGCATTCAATGAAGATGCTTTGAAAGAGTAAGTTTAATTACTACTCCAAGTATGATAGCTCTTACTACGAGAGAGAGGAACATACATATACTCACCGGGATGCAAATGTCTCCCGGCTGATTTGCAGACTTCCATATGCATACAACCTCCACGTGCAATATGCAGCAAGTTGCTGGAAGGGAAATATATATTTACCCTACCTGGGACTAAGCTCCCAGCATTTCTTTTATTTTTCAAGAACAAATTTCCCTAATCTCCACTTTAGCTGTGATCAGAGTATAGGGGGCTTATAATCAAATGTCCCAGAAAGTTAATGCCCACTGAGTTGATACAATTCTTAACAGTTTCTCCCAAATCCCTGTTTGGCAGCAGCTATTTGTTTGGAAAAGAAAGATCAAAACCATTTCTTTTGTGTGTCATTTATTTATGTTTTGTTCTCTGAGCCAAAGCCTGTAAATTGGCAGGCCCACCCCAAACAGTTCCAAAAATCTCTTTTTCGGTCATTAAGGCAGCTTCTAACTGCAGCTCTCGTCCTGCAGAAACCACTTTCTTCACAGCCTGAATTACTGCAGGAGGGCCCTTTGTGTATGGTCTGAGCCATGTACGTGTTTCTTCCAGTGACTCAAGTTCATCAGACGAGGACAACGCGGCTTCTACCAGGCCAATACGAAGGGCGGTCACTGGATCCACTTTTACAGCACCACTCAGCAACTTGAGGGCAGGGCTGCTGCCAAGGATTTGTACGAGCCTGGCAGCTCCTCCCCAGCCTGGTACTAAGCCCATCTGCTTGTGGACAAATCTAATTTCGCTCTCCGGGGTCATTAACCTGTCAGTGAGAAACAAGTATTCAGTTGTTAATTTATACTGAAGCTTAGCAGTCAAGCCATCTCAGTTCTCTCTGCCTCATTCCTATGCAAAGCACAATTTCGGATGGCAAGATGCAGACTGTAAGTGTTTTCTAACGTTAGGCAGGCTAATGCTACATCAAGCAAGCAATTTGCAGAGATTGGATCCAAAGTAAGGCAAAACAAATGGATCACTTTGAAAGGGAAGACAACAACCTTTAATCCAAAATGAGAAGCCAGCATTTTTCTATTAGGTTGAATATTACCTTTCAGATCAGAAATATGCAAGGACAGATTCTTATTACCACCTCAGCATGGGTCAGGGGTTGTTTAAGGACAACCTATGCCCATTTTCAACGACTTCAGTCTGAGGAGTTGCAATGAACACATATCTTCTTCTTTGGCAATCACTCGTAGCCGAGTAAGATTGTCTTCCATAAACACAATTTTAACCATGAGTCTGTAAGTGACTGGAGGCCAATTCTGGACCCACACGTCCTTCCACAGTGTGGACATTGGTTCAGGGGCGGGAGTTGATCACGGTGTGGATTTGCCAAGCATGCCTTCCTCTTAGCACGTTTCTCCCTTGAGTTCAAGTGTCTTCAAAGTCCATGACACCTTTGGTAAAGGCTGTTCTCCAACTGGAGCACTCGCAGGCCACTGCTTTCCAGTTGTCAGTGTTTATACTACATTTTCTTAGATTTGCCTAAAGGTAAAGGTAAAGGTACCCCTGCCCGTACGGGCCAGTCGTGACCGACTCTGGGGTTGCGTGCTCATCTTGCTTAAGAGGCCGGGAGCCAGCACTGTCCGAAGACACTTCCGGGTCACGTGGCCAGCGTGACGAAGCTGCAGCTGGCGAGCCAGCACCAGCGCAGCGCACGGAAACGCCGTTTACCTTCCCGCTATAAAGCGGTACCTATTTATCTACTTGCACTTAGGGGTGCTTTCGAACTGCTAGGTGGGCAGGAGCTGGGACCGAACGACGGGAGCTCACCCCTTCGCGGGGATTCGAACCGCCGACCATACGATAGGCAAGTCCTAGGCACTGAGGTTTTACCCACAGCGCCACCCGCGTCCCTAGATTTGCCTAGACAGTCTTTAAACCTCTTAATGAACACACATAAAACCTTATGGGCATGGGGCTGAAATCAGATGGCAAGACTGGGAGGGATTGTTTTGCCATGAAGCAGCCCATGTTTTGCTGGGCTTTCATAGCTAAACAAACTTTTGTGGTCATCAGGATTCCATTGGTCCCATTTTTTTTTTAAAGGAATGTCAAATATGCTAAATGGGGCTTACTCCCAAGTAAATATGCACAAATTGTCAGCCCTAGTCCTAGTCTGTAGATTTCTTCAAAGCCCTAGTCCTAGTCTGTAGATTTATTCAAAACATTCACATTTTAGTGAAGAATCCAGGCAGCACGAGAATCAAGAAGTGATGGGGAAAACAACAGAGAAAAATGAGATTTTGTTCTATAGTTCAGAGATGGCAATTCCTATAATGGTCAGGACCTTGCCTTTTTTTGCGTCTCGTGTGAATGCTCTTTATTGTGCTTTAAAAATAGAGAGAGAAGCACAATGCTGAGGTTAATGCCACTTTGCAGAGGAAAACTAGTGCAGTTACTAGCTGAATTGGAAAAGGGCAAGCAAAATGATAAAGGGGCTGAAGTAACTCCCATATGAGGAAAGGTCACAACATCCAGGACCCTTTTTTTTGGGGGGGGGTAGGGCAAATAAGAGAGAGAGAAAATGATATGTGCAAAATTATGCATGGTGTGCAGAAGGAAGGTAGACGTTTTTTCTCTTGCACAATACTCAGGGACACCTCAGGAAGCCGAATGTTACAGGTTTCAGGGCAGACAAAAGGAAGTGCTTCACACAGCACACAGGTAACTATAGGATTCGCTACCCCACAACATAGTGGTAGCCACCAACTTGGACAGCTTTAAAAGGGCCTTATACAGATTAATGGAGGACAAGACTATCAAAGACTCCTGCCCGTGATGACTATATATTAGCTCCAAAATCAGCGGCGATGTGCCTCTCACTACCAGTCGCTGGGGAGAACAATTAGGAAGAGCTGATGCTGCACTCGTGTCTTGCTTGAGGGATTCCTGCAGGCATCTGGTTGGTCACTGAGAGAACATGATGCTAGACCAGGCAGGCCTCTGGTCTCTTCCACCAGGGCTCGCCTTATGAACCTGACGATGTTTCTGTACTTTGCTGGAATAGGGCCAGAGACTTGAACAGGCTTGCCACAGTAAATTGCTCAGCAGCATCCGCTGGCCTTCGCAGCTCACGTCTTCCACAACATCTATGAACTTACCTTATTGCGTACTGTCGTTGTGGTGATAAAACCTTGGCACAGGAAGGAGAAAGAGAGACAGTCGCACATAGGTCAGGAAGCAAGAAGGAATGAGGGGTGGATAATGGAGGGGAAGAAGAGAGTGAGCAGCAGGCAAGTATGTTTGTTTGTGGGGTGGCGGTTATGAAGAAGGAAGAATGAGGCTGAGATCAGGATCATACAGAAGACAGAGACAATATGCAGTCTGAGGGCCTCTGGAGGAGCAACAATACACACATTGGTTTTATTTGCTGGGTAGGCAGAACTCAGAGTTTCTCCCACTGATTTTAACTGGGAAAAAAGATTAAAGGAATGTATGCTGTAACAACCTGAACATGGAAGGCATAATTTTTGAGAGAAGAAGCAACTGCTGCCACCATTCTCCATGCTTCCCTCGCAGGCCTACACAGGAAGAACATTATGTGGACATAAGCCAATATTATCATGTGCGCTACACAGAACTCAGTCATGCAGACAAATAATCTTCCGCACTGAACATGGACTTTTAAGGTTGTCTGGAGAATGCCCTGTTTAATATGTATCTGCTTGAATCTGCTTTCAAATATGGAGAGATTTGTCTGGATTATTGCTATTAATAGATAACAAACAGAAAAAAACACCAGCAACTAAACAATAATCCAAAACACTGTGGTCCATGCTGCTGGGAAAATGGCAACTCTGGGCTATATACATAGAATTGTAGAGCTGGAAGGGACTCTGAGGATCATCTAGTCCAGCTCTTCTCTGTGGGTCCCCAGATGGTTTTTTTTTAAACGATATTTATTAAAGGTTTAATAGTTACAGAAAAAAGAAAAAAGAAACAATAAAAAATAAGCAAAACAAAACAATACCTTACAATACATCAAAAATGAAAAGAAAAACAAAAAACAATACGACAAAACTACAAGAAAAACAAAAACATTTAAAAACACATCCAATATTTCCGTATCTTTATCTTTCATTTACTTGTTTCATCGACCTCCTCGCACCTCCCCTTTTTGTATTCTAGTTCAATTATTTATTTCAGCAAATCCTTTCCATCTTTGAAGCAAATCCTTTCCATCTGTCATCATCCCTGACAGAGCCTTGCTAGCTAGGGGTGATGGGAGTTGTAGTTCAACAACAATCTGGGGACCCACAAGGTTAGTCCAACCCCCTGCAATGCCGAATAGAGTTTCTCATACAGGATTGAGCTGCAACTTGGCCTTATCAGACACCATCTTAGGATTCGAACAGGGGCCTGGCAACCTATGGCCTGTCAGGCAACCACACATGCTCTAGCCAACTGAGCTATCAGACCCCACAGGGGGACTCACAGGTTAGTCCAACCCCCTGCTATGCCGAATATTGCAGCTGTCTCATACAGGGATTGAAAGCGCAACCTTTGGCCTTATCAGCACCATTGCTCTAGCCAACTGAGCTAACAGACACATTGTTTGAAGAGCAGGAGGGAATTGACCAGCACAACAACCAAATTAAAACCTAGGAAGGGCTGTGGCTCAGGAGTGGAGCCCATGCTTTGAATGCAAAGGGAGCCAGGCTGAATCCCCACCTTCTACGGGTAGATCTGAGACAGGCTGAGGGCAGGCAGACTGAGTTAGGTGGAGTCATGCCCATTTTTCTTAACAGGACAGCCTCCACGGCTTGCAGCTCTAAAAACGTGTTTAAAATGCAAATGATTAAAAAGGCCGGCCTGACTTTTGCAGGTCACTGCGATATCATGAACTCAGCTGACCAATGGCAGATTAAAAACGAGTATCCCTCACACTTCATGCATAAAGCGATCCCTCTGTTTCTTAGCCTCCGCCTTATTTCTGTGAGCACATCATTGGCTCACATGAACACACTGCACCAAGCTCGCAGCAGTGTTTAGTCAGCTTACATTTCTCAAGAAGAGCTCATATGTGAATGCTCGGTGTGAAATTTAGGCCATATATTTGTAAGAAAGGAGAACTGTGAACAGAGGAAACTTCTTTTCGCATTAAAACCATCTTGTTTACTGGACCGCTGCTCTGGATTTAAAAAGAAGAAATGAAAAGACCATAACAACGCCTGTGTGTTCCTTTCTAATGATATGACTGTGATTCAAGTGGCATGGTCTGGAATACTAATGATTTTTACAGTTTTCCTAGAAGAGAAGGATAAGCAACCTAGAAAATGCAAGAATTTGATCTGCCATAGCTCCAAAGCTTTACTCACTGGCAAGCAGGGGGAGTGAGGAGAGGAGGGGAGTGTGATGGAGCCACATATCTCAGAATCTCCTTTGGTATCACTTACGCACACAACAAAGCTGTGTGTATTCTGCCCATGTACAAATGTGCTTTGCAAATATAAAATTCAACATAAGTGTCTAGTTAGGAGATGTGTAGAGATAAGCTCTCCCACATTTTCAGGCCTGTTGAAGTATCAAGAGTTACAAATCCCAGACACCTCTGGCAGTATTCTAGACTGACTGGAGTGGGGGGGGAGGACTTTACTGATGTAGAGTCTGCTTCAAGAATATCATAGGTAAAGGTAAAGGACCCCTGGAGGGCTAAATCCAGTCAAAGGCGACTATGGGGTTACGGCACTCATCTCGCTTTCAGGCCGAGGGAGCCGGCATTTGTCCACAGACAACTTTGCGGGTCATGCAGCCAGCATGACTAAACCGCTTCTGGCACAACGGGACACTGTTTACCTTCCTGCTGCAGTGGTACCTATTTATCTACTTGCAATGGTGTGCTTTGGAACTGCTAGGTTGGCAGAAACTGGGACAGAGCAACAGGAGCTCACTCTGTCGCACAGATTCAAACTGCTGACCTTCTGACCTAAAGTGTCTATAAAGGTCTAGTGCCTCCTCCATTTATCCAGACAAGGTAAGTGTGGGTTATTCAGGATAAAAACCTGCTCAGCATTTTATTTTCTAGTCCAGTTCAAAGGTCACCTTCTCCCAGAACAGGGTGATCAGTGGAACTGACCTCCAGCTTACAAACTTCTGCTTCCCAGCTCTGCATCTCCCTTGAACTGCAACAGAGAAGGGGGACCTGAGGGCTTCGTTCACATAGAGCGTGTGCCAGCAAGTTCCTCCCTATCTTCCTCGGATTTCTTTATTCTTCCCTTACCAGAGCACTGTGAGACAGAGCTGCAGAAAAGCCAGCCATGTAATGTAGTAATCAGACCTATGTTAATGCCCTATTCTCCCCCCCCCCCCCCATTTCATTGCTAGTAGCACTGGGCAGAGTTCGAAAGTGATTGAAGTTAAAGCCATATCATCAGTTAGCAGAAGCATTAAACATGAGATATCAAACTGAAGTTTCCCACCTCAGGCCAGCTTGTAATTATACAGTATTTCATGCTTGTAATTATACAGTAATATCTAAACTGTGTGGCTAAATGCAAAGCTATTTTTAATTGATGCTTCCCCCCCCCCTTAAAAGAAGTTGAAAATTTGTTTCTGCACAGAGCTCTTCAACTTCTTTTTCCATGCCAAATAACCTGATCGTAGTATGAGGCCAAATTATTTTATGTCAACTGCCTAATTACATAGATTCAGACACAAGGAGCTGACATTAGCACAAGAATCGAACACAAAAGGAAGATGGCGGGTAGAGGAAGTGATCCATGGGTCATGGGTGCTTTAGTTGAGATTCCTGCGTTGCAGGGGGTTGGACTACATGACCCTTGGGGTACCTTCTAACTCTACGATTCTATGAACACCCAGTACCCCTGACCATTGGCCAAGCTAACTGGGCCTGAACTCCAAATGGCCGGCATTCTTCTGGCATGCCTGTAACATTAGCTCATCCTCCAGCAGCACATGAGCATGGTGAATGCCCAGCCACCTGGAGAGCAAAGCCAGCCTGTGACACTTCCACCTGCCACCCCAGCTACCAGAAAAAGGAACTCCCAAGAGTTACAGGTTAATTCACCACCTGGGAGGGGACAACTAGGGCTTTTTTCAGCCAGAACTTGCCGGAACTCAGTTCTGGCACCTCTCGGGTGGGCGCCACTGCCATTCTAAGAGAAGAAGTGTTCTAGAAAAATGGCACTGGGGACAACCACTGGCTAACTCTCCTGTCACCAATGAGTGAGTTTGTTATTTATTTATTTAGTAAGTGTCTATCCCACTTTCTCCCCAAGGGAGAAGTTCTCCCCGCTTGTCATTTTATCCTAGCAACAAAACTATGTGGTAAGTTAGGCTGAAAAACAGTGACTGGCCCAAGGTCGCCCAGTGAGCTTAATGGCCAAGTGGGGATTTGAACCCTGATCTCCCAAAGCCTAGTCCAATGCTTTAACCACTGTACCAAACTGGCTGTTCAGGTCAGCCTGTTTCGCCCTCCCCTGCTTTCCACCAAAGCATGAAGTCTGAAAGAGCAGTCTGACATGCAGGGGGAAGACCCCTGGGTTGTCAGAAGTATTCAATCAGCACCTCACCCCCAGGTTTGAAATGAAGTTTTTTATTAAAGTAAGAGATGGAGGTATAAGGAGAGGAGAGAGAGAACAGGTAACATAGAGCAAGTAGAAAAGCAAACAGTTTACTGTCTGAACAACCCACACTAGACAACAGAGCAAGGATTACCCATGATGTTGAGGAGATGACCGGGTTTTTTTAAACCCTGTACATACAATTCTCTATGCAGGTAGGGCTATGTGCACTCAGACAATCACTACAGGCACTTGGGGACTTGACAAGGGATGCCTAAGAGGATGAAAGGTTGATACTTCTCAACAAGCTAGGAAGGAGGAAGTAAAAAGGTGACAGCAGAGAGAGATTTCCTAATTACTTCAGGTAGACAGAATCCGTGGAGGGGGGGCGTTTCAGCTTTCAATGCGACAGGAAAGTTACTATGTAATTGGGAATCTATGCCATTAAAGAGACGGGCATTTCGTTCTCAGGCTTTTCTCCAAAATGAGCTGTTCAAATATAAAGAAAGGGGGTAGTGGAATTGCTTGACTTTATGACTAAGCAACAGGAAATAGTAATGGCTACCCATTCAGATGGTTTTAAAAGAGAATTAGACAAATTCAAGGAGGATATGGCTATCAATGGCTTCTAGTCAAAATGGTTACGTTCCACTGCAGTATCCCTCTGTATAGTGGTAGGTGGCAATAATGAGCGGGCAGAGGTCTGTTGTACTCATGTCCTCTTTCGGGCTTCCCATAGGCATTTGGAAAGCACCGGAGGGAACAGGATGATGGGCTAGGTGGGACTTTGGCCTGATCTCTTCTCATGTTCTTATGTAACCAGTTCTCTTATTGTGGAAGTTAAAAGATTCCTTGTAATCCAACATTTTCACAACATAGGACAAAACACTCAAATGGGTGTAGGCGTTCCCTTTAAAATATTCCCTTTTATTTATAAAAAATTGTTAAATTGTCATTCTATCAACATATACTCAAGGCAATCTATTCTATTTAAAGCCAAGAGCAAACAGCGCAAAGGACTGTTTAAAAAACTCCACGATACTAAAATGTGATGGCAGCATGAAAGAAAAGTGCTAGGAGAATGAAGTAGATGAGACTGTATCTTCTACTCTTTCCCTGGGCACAATCCAAATGTGAAAACAATGTCTGAACAGGGTCCCAAGTCTGCTCAGGGATGCATTTAACCCTACCTGAAGTCACATGCAGTGGTGAGTTCTGCTCCTCCTCCCAGAGCCTTCCCTTGCACTAATGCAACTGTAATCAGAGGTAACCTACACAAAACAGAGAGCAAGAAAGAAACCATTCAAAATTACAACTACAGTCAAAGGGTTAAATGATCAAAAGGCATGCTATTCCAAACCAAGACAAACAATGGTTTGTCTTGGAACGTAAGCATGACACATAAACATCGGAAACAAAAGCAATTATCATAGAAACAGTAAAAATACAAAAAAAGAGAGCAGAGATCTGCTTCGTATTTGTTTTACGGTTCTCTTTTGTAGGCTATCTTGAAAATCTAGATTAATAAAATTACGTTTTATTTATTATTATTTTTAAAAAGGGTGAAAGTAAGCATTAAAGTGCACACACACTGTGAAGACTGCCGGGGGGGGGCAAATTGTAAGCTTTTATGTTTTGCAGACTTTATGGAGGACTGGCACCTGTTTAGTTTTGTCCATTTATGGTGCCATGTCATGACACCCCCCCCCAAAAGCTACCTTATCTCTGCATATATAAATAAGTTTCTTTTTGGGGAAACACATAACCAGAGTCAGACATTCTGTTAAATTTTCTAATCTTTTTTATTCTGTATAACACATTTAGAGGAACAACTCAAAAGCTAATATGTGTACCTGGATAGTGTGGTTTGGAGCTCTCAAGAGGCCAAAATTAGAAATAGTGTATGAAAGCTACAGCCCCCAACATTGACATGAACCGATAATGAAACTCAGTTATAAGACTATTCCTTCAAATGTGTCGTGAAGAACTGGGGACTGAGAGCTTACTGGCTACGAATTTTGGGGAATTCGTTTTCCGAAGCTCCCTCTCCCACAAGTTTGCCTCACGGTCTTTCATCCTCTGTCACCTTATTCTCGTGTGACCTTGGGCAGTGATTATTCTATGCAGCAGTAAGTCTGCATTCTGTTATAGAAAGGTCTGAAGCAATGGGGAACAGGATTAAATGTCAGAGATGGATGGACTTTTGTTTCTCATCTGGAAGTCCTTAGGTCATTCTACAAAAAAAAGCCCTCATAAAACTGAAGGTCAGAAATAATCCAAAACAATAGCAGCACGAGAAATACGGCTTCCCAGTTACTAAGAGAGCCTTAAGAAATGCTGGAGAGAGAGAAACCTTTGTGGGGGTGGGGGAACAGATGGTGGATTAAACTAACAGTCTCCTCCTCTGCACATGTTGCTTCCATACCCCTATGTAGGTTGTGGACATACTGCTTGCCAACTTTTAAGAGATGACTTCAACACTTTCTAGAAATTGAGGCAGAAGTTTCAGGGGGTGGTATGTCCCTGCCCCTACCACCAAAGGCTTTGTTGTCATTTCGGAAAACTTCAAGAGTTGTAAATGTCATCTGCTTATAAGAACCAACGTTTTAGTTTCCAACATTCTCCAGGCTTACAAATTATGCAACATGCAAACATGAGATGCCACTTTTGAATTTATTTATTTTTTTGCTACAATTCAAGTTGTTGAACATTTTAAAAGTTAATCAGACAAAACACACTGACCTCATGAGTCTGGTTAAGGTGTTTTGCATGAACATACACATGTCCATCCCATCCTATAAAGAAGAAGGAAAACAGTTAAAATTATCCTGAAGTACACAAATTCCCAAAGGGAATAGCTGCTCTGGAATGTTCTACTGATTCCAACTGAGCTTACATATAATAACTTTCCTAAACATTTTGCCTAGGTTCTGTACTCTAAACTGTACCAAATACATTGTGTTCCAAATCAGCTACTGACTGCTACCAATGGCTCCATAAAGATGCTAAATAGCACTGGAGACAAAATAAGCACTGGGACATTCCACAGCATAACTGCCAGGACTCTGGTGCTCGGGTCCTGTTTACAGGTTTCCCACAGCCATCTATCCGGTTGGCCACTGTGAGATCAGGATGCTAAATGAGATGGCTCACTGGAGTGATCCAGCAAACTCTTCTCATGTTCCTTAGACACATAGTCATCCAATGCTACTCTATGGAACCAGCCCTGCAGGTAAGTACAGAACCAGTGCAGAATAGCATCTGCAACCACTAACCTACAGAGCTAATTCAGGAGGAATCTATAGTTGATGGTCTCAAATGCTGCTGAAAGATAAAGCAAGACTCACTTGACCTTCTCCTGATGGGCATCCATCAGGGCTAGCAAGGTCAACTGGGCTGCAAAACCAGGTTCTACCCAAAACTGGTAAGAGCCAGAATAATTGGTTTCATCCAAGAACATCTGTACTAAGCACTTTCCCAAGAAAAGAGGTCTTTGCATTTAGGTGGGAGGTGTTGCCTGCCATTGGATCCAGGGCAGGCTTTATTAGGAGTGGTTGCAGCACCACCCTGCCACATAACGATGCATTAACCACTTGCTGGACCCACCCACTATTTCCCCCCATCCAAGCAGGTTAAGAGGGCAAGTCAGCATTGCTACAAGCCCGTTGTCCACATTGTCAGGCCCCAGTGGAATGAGTGACTGGAGATAGTCTTTGGTGACCAAGTGGGAGTGACTGGGTTAATGGTGTGCTTGTGTGTGCTGGTGAAGATGTAGTATGGGTTGGGCGATATTAAATTAGTGCATATTGTATTATTTATGCAGATGTAGCACAGAATTTGGGGGGGGATGGTGAACAGTGAGGCAAGTGTTGCATTTTGGGTCAGGGTGTGCCTTGGCAAGGGAGAGGCTGAAGAGGGAAGGGGCTCCTGACTAAAGACAATTCAAAATGTGCTGCTGTGTTTTTGCTTAGGGCATTTTTCTTTTTGTTATCTTGTATTATCTTGTAGTTTCTCAGGCTGTTTGTTATATAAGCATATTGCATTTGTTATTTTGTACACTGCTTAGTGGCTGAAATAGGGACTCTGCAGTCTCTAGATGCCGATTCCTAGCTTTTACAATACAGAGGCTTTTTTATTTTGCAAAACATTTTTAAAAAATGAATTTGAGACCCTTAGCCTTTTCTGTTTTTATTTCTATCTATTTGACACATATTTTTGTTCTCTTCTTCATCTACCTAAAGGTAGCCTGAGTGGCTGTACATCTCTCTCTCTCTCTCTCAATTTTATTGCAGTTTTGACATGGTATTGTTGTTGGCTTGCATTCACTTTTTAACTGTTGTAAGACACTGTAATACAGCTCAGGGTGAAAGGCAGATAGCAAACCCTATATATCAATAATATAATTAGGAATACAAATTCCATTCATAAATTAAATAGGATTGAATAAAGCTGAAGAACAAAGACATTTTCCACCCTAAGCAGTGATCTCACTATTTAACTTAAAAAACACCCTGAGCAGTGCACAAAGCAGGCCAGAAGAGAAGTCTAAAGTGTTGATGAATACAAAGATGCCTATGTTTATGGAAGGGAAGGGGGGGGGGAGAGGAACTATTCATAGTGAAAAGTTTCAAAACAAAGCCACATTAATGATCTCAGAGCATTTCTGCCTCTACAAAGTAAGACTGTCAGCTGGTGCTAACTCTTGAATGGCAACCAGAAGGCGGACTGGTGAGTGCAGGCCATTATTAATATCTTATTAATTAAATGCCATGGAAGGCAGAGACTGAAAAGGCTTTAGCTCTAGGCTTCAGTTAAATGAGCCTAGTAGATTGAAGAGCAGCCCTTGATGAATAAGACCAAAAGCACCTATCTGGTTCAACATCCTACTTCCCATGGTGGCCAATCAGATTCCTCTAGAAAGTCCATAGGCAGGTGAAAGGAGGCTGCATATATAGCCGTCATGACTAGTAGGTAGCCACTCATGGCCATATCTTACATATCAAACATTCTCCTCTGACAAAACTGGCAAAGACATATCCAATGGTTTGGGTAGTTCTTTCAGAGAAGATTTCCAGCTAACATTTAGCTGCTCTGCACCGCACAATAAGTTAAACTATGGGTTACTGAGACCACACAAACATGTGAACTCCCAGAGAAGAACTTTGCTTCTCCCCAGTCCTTTTTGCTGCAATGCTGTGTTAAGCTAGCCAATGCCAAGTAGCCAAGTCATCAGAGGGATGGCCTTTTCACCACTGCTGGAAAAGACCAGTGACATTTTTCGTATTTTCTCAACACCCACAGGGCAACACCATTCCCCAACAACAAAACCTGTTTGCGACCCTGTAATATGCTGTACAATAAGCCTGCTAGCCTTTCTTTTTTTTACCTTCTCCCTTTGTTGTAAAAGATTTTTTCTGGCGCACTCAGATAACTCATTCGAGCTCTATTTTACAACATTGGCTTCCAAGCTGAAGGACTGAGAATTTGGTTCAATAATCTGGAATATCCCTCATTTTTACTGTACTGCCTTTCGTCCTTTTTTTTTCCCTTTTTTGTACTCTACTCAGCTAATTTTCAGGGACTCTGGCGCCCAGTGGCCGGGAGGATAACTACAATTTGTTTTTGTTTCTCTCTCTTCTTACCTTTTTTCTTCAACTGGTTGCCTATTTGTTATTCAGGTCCCACTTGACTCCCCTGTTGGAAGGTCGGACTAAAACTGGACTAAAACTGGTTGGACCAAAACTGGACTAAAACTGGTTCTATAAGTACACTATAAGAACATACAAGGATTTTATATATAAGAACATACAAGAACATATAAGGATTAGCCCTACTGGGCAGAAGGCCCCCCCCCCGGCTTTTTGCTCCTGGTGACAGGAATATTGAATTTTTTTCTCCCTTCTCTTTTGCCCTCCCACACTTGTTCGGTGGCATAACTGGACGGTAATTGGAAATTTTGACTTCTAAAGGGACATCCAAAGGGAGTAGCCCAATAGGTGGCAAGAAGTATATATGTATATAACTTTTTTCTTCCTTTTGTGAACTTTTATTACTCTCTCCTTTTTTTCTCTCTTTTGGCTATTTCCCCCCCCCCTCTTTTTGGAGTTTTTTTTTTTTTTTGGACTGATTTAATCACCATCCCTTGACCCTAGTAGGGGGCGAACGTTGATAGAATTTTGGGAAAGGGTTTAATACCGATACTACTAAGTTAATTATATAAATCAGGGAACTAGAATTGGATTTTGCATGTGAATAAGTGTTGTAAGCGAATAAGGTGGGAACTCATAAAAGGGCAAGGGACAATAAGGCTGTGTTAAATCTAAATTAAAGGTAACATTGGGAAGATGTCTCAGGTATCCAAAAAAGGGGGGGAAGGCGGAACACCAGGAGACAGGAGAGGGTCCAAACCAGAGGCAGATTTCAAAACAGAAATATTGAAAATGTTTGGTGAAATTAGACAGTGTGTGAAGAATATGGAGGATAAATTGGAGCACGTAAATATGAGAATGGAGCAGGTGGACTTGAGAATTGGGAAAATGGACCAAAAGATTGATGAAACTGTAAAAGAGCTAAGAGGTCAAATTAAAGATGTTTCAAAAAGAACACAATCGCTGGAAGAAGGAATGAAAAAAACAAGAGTAGAAATGAAGGAAGTGAAACGAGAAGAAGAAAAATTAAAAGCAGGATTATCGGAAGTTAACAAAACACAAGAAGAAGTCTGGGACGCAATCGCGATGAACGAATTGAGGCAACGGGAGACGAATCTCAGGCTGAGAGCAGTCCCGGAAACACAAGGGGAAAACATCAGAGAGAAACTGATAACAGAAATAGCACAATGGTTAGCGATACAAAAAGAAGAGGTTGAAAGATCGGTTCAAAACACGTTCAGAATAAAAGTAAGAACAACCAGAACAAAGAAAATGCCAGGAGATTGTTTGGTCACATTTAAAGATAAAGATATGAGAAACTTAATTCTCCAAAAAATAGAGAAAGAAGATTAAACATTGAAGGGGATTACATAATCATTTTTAAAGATATTCCAGTAAGATTGTTGAAACATAGAGACCCATACAAGCCACTAGTCCAAACTCTCAAGAAGAATAAGATTGAATTCAAATGGGAATTCTCTCAGGGGATCTCATTCACTTATAAAAGTAAGAAACACAGACTTACTAGTCCGGAGGAAACAAGTAAATTTCAAAGGCGCTACAGGGAACTGACGGTAAAGAGGAAGAAGAAAGAGGAGCAGTAGGAGGTGTTGGTCCACTTGAGAGGAAGTACCTGGAAGAAAAGGGAAAGGAAGGCGGAGAACCGGAGGAAGAAGAGGAAGAAGAAGAAGAGGAAGAGGAGGAAGAAGAACAGGAAGAAGGCAGATTATAATTAATTAGATAACCCCAAATCGGGAAAGGAAGATGGCGCTAAAATTATGGAATTGGAATGTTAATGGAATGAACGATAAGAAAAAACGGAATAAAATTGAGCAATACCTAAAAAAGAAAAACCTCGACATCATCTGTCTTCAAGAAACACACGTGGCAAAAAAGCATAGGAAAATCTTGATTAATAACAGATTGGGAAGTGAATTTGTATCTTCGAACAAAAGGAAAAGAGAGGGGTTGTACTATATGTAAAAAAGAATATTGAGGCTCAGCAAATCTTCAAAGACGAAGAGGGAAGAATAATTGCAATACAGATTAAATGGCAAGGCGAGAAAATAATAATTGTCGGGATCTATGCACCTAATGGAAACAAGTCCGATTTTTATAAAAACCTGGAAGATAAGCTGTTTGAATAT